GTGAGAGAGAGAGAGAGAGAGAGAGAGAGAGAGAGACCTAATTGATTGGCATTAATATAGCGATGGACTGACAGAATAAATTAAATAAACATTTCGACAGACTTTAGTTTCCTTATGAAAGTCATTAATACGAAACACACATTTGTACTCTTTTTTAGCATATCTGTACTAACTCAGTACTAAACAGTCCCATTTAGTAATATTAAAGCAGAGTTAAATTGGAGATTTGTATTAAGGCATCTCATACTTTATTGCGTGTATATCTAAAAGCAAGCTAGTTTAATATAAAATGCAAATCAATTTGCGGTAAATAAAGTATTATTTTTTGGTACCTTTTTTATTAGTGTTTTTCTATTAGGTTTTGCACTTTATTATCCACTCGACTACTACTCATAGCAACTATAAATATATTTATTATTTTGACATAAATTGGTTTTTGCATTTAAATTTCCACTCCAATACTAGTAGTAATTAATATAACCCCCACACATAAAACGATCTTATTAAAAAGTAATCCATTTGTAGTATTTATATTAGATTTGAGTTTATACTATTTATTCAAATTTTACATTTCACATTATTAATAGTATCTAAATATGTATAGAATATTCTTGATAGTAAATACTTGTATGAATTTAACAAAAAAAACTATTCATTACAATAATAATTTGCATAAACATAATATGGGAGTGAATATAAATGGAAAAATTTTATATTTTAATTTAGGAATGGGAGGTAAAGATAAGCTACAGGTTTTCAATCACTAAATAAATTTCAATATTTAAATATATCTGATATATTTTACAAAAGGCTTAAAATCAAATAACTGCACATGTTATAATGATATAAACTTCATAGAATTAAAATTGTTAAAAGTATTGACTTTGGTTACCCCCCTATACTTTTAATGGCACAAGAATTGAATTTCATTTTAAAAAATAAACTGTTCAGGCTTATGACAATCTAAATTTTGTATGGTACAGCATTTGGCAAATATTGTGTGAAATACCAGTTGTGTGTACAGTATGTGTGACACTATTTGATGACATAATATGCAAATCCATGTCTCACTCAATACCTATCACTCATGTAAGACAATGTGTTTGTGTTGTAATGCAAACACATTTTGTGATAGTATTTACTCTAACATTCTTGACGTTGTATTTCATAACAGCTCTCTCTCTCTCTCTCTCTCGAGTATTGATTGCTTTATTTTTCATTTACTAAAAGCAATGAAGAGAGAGAGAGAGAGAGAGAGAGAGAGATCTTTAATATAATATAGAATATAAAATGTACCGGATTCAATTCATAAACTTAAAATTTATAATTTTGTTATATATAAAAATATAGAAATACTTTATGTAATAACATTAAACATTATTATTATTATATAATTATTGAAAACAGTTGGATACTAATAGACACAGCATTTGGAAAACAGGATAAATCTGCACATACTCTGTACAAATATATGCTGTACTGTGTATATACTAATAAAGCGTCTGTAGCTCAAATAGGATGTGACATTGAATCCGTTTGTGATCTCAATTGCTGTTGACATCTGTAGACATTGTCTCATATATTCTGTGTTTATAAACAATACTCGTTATACAGAATCCAATTTAATATCATTAGCGAAACCCTAAGAACTTTCGCTAAATTTCACGGAATCCTTAATAAAATGAGTTTTTCATTACGAGTGAAACAATATGTATATGTTATCTGTGTGCTATCAGCCGGATAATTGTCAATAGAAATAGGTAACCATGTATCCAAGGTCGTATTTATGTTGCCTATTTATTAACTATATGAATTAAAATTTTAATTGAAAATTTATTGTGATTCAAAGTAACTAATTGTAAAATAATAATTATTAATATACAACAATAAAATTAATTTATTAAACAAGTATAATCATATATTTTTGTGTATTAATTTATTTGGCAAGTAAAATATCTTTATATAAGGTGATTTATAAAACATAGTACTGTATATTACAAAGTGACATTTAATTACAAAATGTTGAGTAAATTGTGTGAATGTTTGGGACAAATATTTATGTATTTAATAGCCATTCGTCTCATTATAATAATCTGGCGTTTCATCAAAAATTATAACAAAAATGATGTATTAGTTGGAAATGGATGCAAATGGGCTGTGATTACCGGTGCCACGGATGGCATAGGGCTGGCATACGCTCATGAGTTAGCTCTAAGACAATACAACTTATTACTGATATCGCGATCACAAGAAAAGTTGGAAAAAGTGAGAAATGAATTACAAATAATCCAAAAGCCATTCAATACAACCACCAGAATATTGGCCCTGAATTTCACGTCAACTCATATATACACACAATGCGAACAAACAATCCGGGAGTTGGACCCAGACATCCATGTGTTGGTCAACAACGTTGGTATCGCTTTCCCCGAAAGGGGTGGCCCCACCCGTTTCGGGGATATACCTAATTTGGACCAATTCTGTACGGATATGATTAACGTTAACATAATGTCGTGCACTCGACTCACGGCACTTGTATTGCCAGCTATGGTGGCCAATGGACAGGGAGTCATAATCAACGTATCGTCGTTCGCGGCTAACATTCCCATGCCTTTACTGAGCCAATACTCGGCCACCAAAGCATACATGGATTACTTTAGCCGTGGATTAGCCGTTGAGTACAATGACCGGGGTATTATCGTACAGTCAGTACTACCTAACGTGGTCTCTACTAATCTATTTTCTGAAGTCTACCGAAACTTTTCATTTTTCCCTAAACCTCGAGACTACGTGAGACACGCGATCCGTACGGTTGGGGTTGAGAGTCGTACTGTCGGCTACCCTTCCCACCAATTGGTACAAATATTAGCTAATTTTATCACATTTATATCCATCATAATTGGTGCAGATTTGGGCCCAATATTACAGTATTTATTTCTTACCTTGGCAAACAAATTCATTAAGTTAGATTAATTTTTTAGGTTTTATAGATTGAATTAATATTTTAAAAAATAATATTATACATATTTATTATTGATAACCCTCTCTCATTGCTTACGTAGGCCCTCTCACTATCCAGTTCCTTTTAAATAAACTATAATAAAACAAAAATAAAATAGATTAATTAGAAATTATATAAATATTATTTGTATTTTTATATAATAATTAATCAATTAAATATTTTAATTTGATTGATATAATTTATTTAGATTTATATTCATAATATTAATTTAAATTATCTTATCTTATTTAAATTAAGATTAAATAATAATAAACATATTATCTTGATATTGTATGTAGTGAATATTTTACTATGTTTATCAAACCTAACAAACATGTGATTTATATTTATATTACGTTTCTTAATACAGTAATTAATACTAAATTATATGGTTGTTTGTATTATTAAATATAGTCTCCAAAAATATTGAGTAAATTATGCCAATGTTTGGGACAAATATTTATGTATTTAATAGCCATTCGTCTCATAATAATCTGGCGTTTCATCAAAAATTATAACAAAAATGATGTATTAGTTGGAAATGGATGCAAATGGGCTGTGATTACCGGTGCCACCGATGGCATAGGGCTGGCATACGCTCATGAGTTAGCTCTAAGACAATACAACTTATTACTGATATCGCGATCACAAGAAAAGTTGGAAAAAGTGAGAAATGAATTACAAATAATTCAAAAGCCATTCAATACAACCACCAGAATATTGGCCCTAAATTTCACGTCAACCCATATATACACACAATGCGAATAA